TCATAAAAAAACGATCAGGGGCGGGGCTTAGAAAGTATTTTTGTGCAGAATATGTAAAAAGGAGGCACTTCGGATGTTGTATACAAATTACAGATGCATTACTGTAAGAACTGTCAAAATGCTATGAATTTACACGCTAGTGTTCGTGAGATTCTGCTTGGCAAGCTGAATTTTGATGATTTTGGGTTGTCCCTGTGTTGAAGTGGGATTCAGAGGGACGGTAGAAATTCATTTACATCTTTAAGTAGAGCTTTACATTGTTGATTGTCACAAAATTCATGCACCAAGTGGATTAGCGAGTTTCTGGGTGGTGCTGTGTTTAGTTCGGTCCAGCAAAAATTGAACCTCTGAAAATGGGTTGGAGCGTCTTTGTGTGAATGCAAGAATGGCAAAAAGTTAAGAGATATGTTTCTGAATACTTCTAATTTCACATTATGTGCTTAAGAGGCGGATAAATTCGGACGTTAAGCTATCCAATGGACGTTTAGAATTATGATCCTGCTTGAATGGATATGATTATATATATTAAACTCAGGGTCACATGGACCAAACTTTCTAATTATGTGAAAGCACAACTCTGAATATCAAATTTTCGATTATACTGATGGAAAGAAAGTGAGAAGACAATCCCAAGTAATTAACAAGCCTGCTTAGTAATAATCCGTCTAATAATGCGTATTAGTCGTAAAGCTCGATTCAAAGTAAATCTGGACGCACGGTTTAATACACCACCGCGCCCCTGGTGGTTGGAACAAAAAACGTTTGACAGGCATTTGTTGATGTTTCATTAACGAAGAATTGGTGAAAAAATTTTCTCGATTGATCGACGCATCCCGAAATTACGGATCATGGAACTTGAGAAAAGAAAATTCATTGTGCACAAACATCTAGAGAACCCTTCGTGGTCTGCCTCACAAATAGCAAAAGTGTTAAAATTTCCAAAGTCAACGGTGATTCTTGCAATCAAACGTTACAAGGATACTCTGAGTGTGGATAGAGCACAGCGCAGATATCATAAAAGTGGAACTAGGGACAAAGAGCTGAGGAGAAAGGTGTTGAGGTACGTGAAAAGCAACCCAGGTGTCTCCATACGCGATTTGGCAAAGAAATACGATTTCAACTTTTCCACCGTGCGTAACATCCTTTCAAGAGAAGGATATAAGTATTTTTGTGCCAGTAAACATCCGAATCGCTCCCTGAAACAAAGTTTAGAGGCCAAAAAGCGAGCACGATTACTATACGAACGAGTTTTGACGAAATTTGATGGCTGTATTTTAATGGATGGCGAAATATATGTCAAAATGAATTATAAACAAATCCCCGGACGAATTTTACCTGGCAACTGATCGTGGAGATGACCCTTCAAGGTATAAATTTGTTTTTGCTGATAAGTTTGCTCGGAAACTAATGATTTGGCAAGGAATCTGCAGTTGTGGCCTTAAAACCAAGGTTTTCATCACATCTGACACAATGACGTCGAAGGTTTACATTAAAGAGTGTCTGAAAAAGTGGATTTTACCCTTCATTCGGCAACACAAGACCAACGTTATGTTTTGGCCGGATCTAGCCAGCTGCCACTACTCTAAGGAGGTACTAGAATGGTATGCTGCAAACAATGTTAATTTCGTCGCCAAAGAGATTAATCCTCCTAATTGCCCTGAGTTCAGACCGATCGAAAAATATTGGGCAATTGTCAAGCGAAAACTTCGAGGATGCGGTAAAGAACTCACAAATGCACAACAAATGCGTTTAAAGTGGAATAAGTTCGCCGGTACAGTGTCACCAGCGACTGTGCAGATCATGGTGGCATCGATCACAAGTAAAGTGCGACAGTTCGTTCGAAACGGTGAAATTTAATAACTTGTTATGTATCGTTTGAAAGCTGAATAAATACCCTAATGACGTTTCGATCAACCGTGTATGTTGTTTAATTCTTGAGTTATGATCACTTGAATGCGTCCAAATTTACTTTGAATCGGGCTTTATGTTAGCTCTATATAACAAAATCAATCCAAATTAGCGGGCTTATTGGTTACCTCCCAAGTAACAATTTGGGTTTTATTAGGGTACTGTAGACCATGATTAAAACTTGTAGAGTGCTTGTAGAGTGAGAAGCGCGTTACCAAATTTAGCAGCGCGGGAGAAAGGTTGCTATTCGTAGAAATGTCAAAATGCTCATCTACCGGTACGGACTACGGCGAGTAAATTGATAACCGCGATAGCAGCGACCGGTGTGACTAAACTAAAATTAGAGCGCTGTGCGCTGTTAAAATAGTCGCGCAAATGACAACGACCGTTACGGTTGCTCTTAAAACCTCAATAAAACTTACAATGTTACTTGGGATGGGATGTGCAATACGTGCTTGTGAACGATTCCCCATCGGTGGTGTCCCACTGCGATCAACCGTTTGATTAAACGTGTTATCCATAACAAAAGTTCAACGGAAATAGGATGTGCATTGAAGTGTGCACGGGGAAAATATTTTATAACGGGGGATTAAAGACAAGTGTTTCATATGTGAAAATATCCCTAACGGAAAGCCCAGAAACAGTCAGAAAAATAACTAATAAGGGTGAGCAAATTGACATGTCAAGGAGACTGAATGGAGTAAATTGAAGGAATAAGCTACTCCACTGTATTTTAAATTAATATCAGGAAAAATGCACGAGAAGTTCACTAAACATCTCAACGTAGTCTACGTCAACCATGCGGCCGTGTCTTGTACACAACCCCACCAATTTTGATAAAGTTCAAGTCAGAAGAGTCGATGCTGCATACATTGACGTTTTCGCGATCTTACATTTCCCGGTTTGGTTCAGACCTAACCTAAAATCACAGTCGCTTATTAAAGACGTTTTCAAGCAAATCACAAAAATTTCAATTGCAAAATTATTATCCCACCAATTTTCACGTATCCATCCTTCCCCAACAATAAACAATCATGCCCGACGGCTACCAGTTATAATGATTATTATTATTATTATTGCGCATGCTTTCCGCGTTTAGCATTGTCATGTGCTAGCCATCAGCCACCAACCCAGCAGCACACCGAGAAGAGCGAGCACATCCCAGCCAGACCCCAAGAATAACGCGGAGACGCAATTCATGCTGCAACCAACCAGTGTGTCACTTCCATTTGCAGCCCAAAACAAAGTAAGCTGTGACGGGTACGCAAAAAAAAAAAATGAAAAGTATGGCTACTTGGGTGGACACATGTTTCTCTCCCTTGTCCCGGGCACAAGCAAGCCATTAGACAAAACAACCGACGATGATGTATGATTATCACATTTGGTCACCCAGCAACACAAAGTTATTATAAATGGTCCCGCTTGCAAGTTGCAAAAATGTCCAAAAACGGTGGTGTGGTGTAAGATCTTCAAACGGAGATAAAACGATGTCGGTTTCTGGGCTGGTAACTCCGCCGACAGCGGGCAGGCAAATTACATGTTTGAAACGGTTTCTCCGGCAGTCAGCAGAGGCAAAAATTACAATCCCCCTTATTCTGCGAGTCACGTGACTCTCTCTCACCGGTGAGGTGACAATAGTCACCTCGTGTGAGGTGACTCTCCATGTAAATCAAATGGAGAGTCACCTCACACGAGGTGACTATTGTCACCTCACCGGTGAGAGAGAGTCACGTGACTCGCAGAATAGGGGGGAATACTTTCGTGACAGTAGCCTACCGGGGGCGTGTTGTTTATCCTGCTGGTCGACTCGACCGACCGAGAAGGAAAATTTGCGTGCATTGTCACATTCGCCCATCACGCGAAACACGTGTTCGGGAAACACTGTACTAAAAGAGAGAAAGACAAATTAACCGACATCGCTTCTTGGTTGTCTCTTGATTTTCTGAGGTTATGTTGAATACAAATTTCGGAACCCCGTCATTTAGCAAAAGCAAGCGAACACTTGACGTCTTTGTTTTAGTATTTTTGTTTGCGATTGTTTGATCGGTTCAAATTCTGAACGACACCAACGAAACTTGTTTCGCTTCCTTCTCGATGGAATATATTACAGGCGAACGGCGAAGAATATAACCAATAAAATTAATTTTTCAAGCTGCGTGCGGAGCCTAATTGATCTATTATGAATCTAATTAAAGTCACACCATAAACGTCGCCGGATTCTTCGAATGCAAAATATCGAGCGCCCAGCAGGAGATCGCGATTATCTTCGGGAAAACGATCCGACACCACCACCACCAAGCAGCAGCTGTCAAATTGTGCTTGATGCGGGACGACCGTCGGCCAACGACTATCAACAATCGGGGAAAAAGCGGTAATAATGGCTAAATAAATGCGAACCACATTATGTCAGCATCCCGATTGGATGGCAATAAATAAACACAAAGAAAGAAGCCAAATCGAAGATCCCATCCCACGAAAGCCCAAATATGATGATGAATAAACTTTATATTTCCGAGGAAATCGGCGGGTGCGGGACGAGGAGTTCCCCCGAAGTCAAAATAAAATGAATAATTCAGAACGGAATGGACGCGGACATGTACCGACCGGCCGAACCGGATTCCGGGTCACCCAAAAGAATCTCCACATTTGGATCACTCCCGTTGGCGTTTGTTATCTCTTTATCGCGCATTGTCCAAATTCGGACAGAATAAGGGAACGATACCGTACGAACGATGAATGATTGCTGCTCGTCGCGAGGAGTATAGGTAGTTACAGAACGGAAGGATCTTCGTGGAGGTCCCGAAAAAGGAAATCGTGATTTCGATACCATCGCGTCGTGTCGATTGATTGAATGGAGCTGGTTGGAGGGAGTTTGTCGTGCCCCACAACTGCAAGGGAACAATCGAAATGATCGTCATATTTGCCCAAAAACAAAAACGAAGTCAGAGCCGCGCAGTCGGAGAATCAATCAACGGTCGCGGACTACTTTGTTTGGTTTTCGGAGACATTCTTTGACATTGACAAGTCTGCAGGAGTGTTGCCAGTGCAATTGTGCTTATTGTTTCTCTTTCGCATTATTTCTCCCATTTCAGACCAAATCATCGACGGAGGTGAACAAGAAGGTCACGTTCTGGTTCGCGACCGGCGGGGCCGGGTTCTGCATCAGCCGGGCGCTGGCGCTCAAGATGCTGCCGATTGCGAGCAGTGGCAAGTTTGTGGCCATAGGCGATAGGATTCGCTTCCCGGATGACGTTACGATGGGTTTCATCATCGGTGAGTTGTTGCATACTAGAAATGGGTTCCTTAAACAGAAAATTGATTATGGGCTTTAAGTTGACTCAACAGTTATCAGTCTGGATAGAAAGTTCATAAGATACCTGGAAAAACAGTCAAGATTCCTATAGTACGGATTCGTTCTTGCCGAATTCCTATAGTACGGTCGATCCGGCATTAACGAATACACGTAGCATATGGGATTTGAGCTAATTGGGACCAAACACTGATTGTACGGAAATTTGAAGAGATAACTTCCTGATGTCTTTGGTGAAGTTGTTAAGCAGATAGTTGGTCACCTTTTGGGAATAGTCAGTTCCCGGTAAGTAACAAGACTGGTCCTGTGGAAGATCCGGAACATCCGTGAAAGTGGTCATTGAAACTGATCCTAAAGCTCGTCGGTTTTTTTTCTAAACCACTCAAAGACGTCTTATCAGAATGAATTTGGAGTTGTGACTAGAATATGGACTCTGAAGAATACGGGATGGCCCACCGGAAGATCCGGAACATCCGTAAAAGTGGTGAATTCATGAAACTAACTGATCCTAGAGCTCGGCGGTTTTTTTCGAAACCACTCATAGACGTCTTATCACAATGAATTAAGATTTTTGACCAGAAAATGGACCCTGAGGGCTATGCGATGGTTCTCCGGAAGATCCGGAACATCCGTAAAACTGCTCGATTCACGAAACAGATTCTAGAGCTCGGCGGTTTTTTCGAAACCACTCATAGACGTCTTATCACATTTAATTCAGAGTTGTGACCAAAAAATGGACGCTGGCGGCTACGGGATGGTTCATTAAAAGATCCGGAACATCCGTAAAAGTGGTCAATTCATGAAACTCATCCTAGAGCTCTGCGGTTTTTCCGAAACCTTTCATAGACGTCTTAGAACATTTAATTCAGAGTTTTGGCCAGAAAATGGACGCTGGGGACTACGGGATGGTTCACTTAAAGATCCGGAACATCCGTAAAAGTGGGCAATTCATGAAACCGATCCTATAACTTCGCGGTTTTGTCGAAACCACTCATAGGCGTCTTATCAGAATGAATTCAGAGTTTTGAGTGGATTATGGACTCTGGGGACTAAAGGATGGTCCTCCAGAAGATCCGGAACATCCGTAAAACTGGTCAATTCACGAAACAGATTCTAGAGCTCTGCGGTTTTTCCGAAACCACTCATCACAATGAATTGAGATTTGTGACCAGAAAATGTACCCTGAGGGCTATGCGATGGTCCTCCGGAAGATCCGGAGCATCCGTAAAACTGCTCAATTCACGAAACACAATTCACTAGAAGATCCGGAACATACGTTAAAGTGGTCAATTCATGAAACTCATCCTAGAATTCCACGGTTTTTTCGTTACCACTCATGGACGTCTTATCAATATGAATTCGGAGTTGTGACCAGAAAATGGATGCTGGGGACTAAGGGAGGGTTCACAAAAAGATCCGGAACATCCGTAAAAGTGGTCAATTTATGAAACGGATCCTTAAACTCCGCGGTTTTTTCGAAACCACTCATAGGCGTCTTATCACATTTAATTCAGAGTTTTGGCCAGAAAATGGACGCTGGGGACTACGGGATGGTTTATTAAAAGATCCGGAACATCCGTAAAAGTGGGCAATTCATGAAACCGATCCTATAATTTCGCGGTTTTGTCGAAACCACTCCTAGACGTCTTTTCAGAATGAATTCAAAGTTTTGACCGGAATATTGACTCTGGGGCCTATGCGATGGTCCTCCGGAAAATCCGGAACATCCGTAAAACTGGTCCATTCACGAAACGGATTCTAGAGCTCCGCGGTTTTTTCGAAACCACGCATAGACGTCTTATCACATTTAATTCAGAGTTGTGACCAAAAAATGGACGTTGGGGACTACGGGATGGTTCACTAAAAGATCCGGTACATCCGTAAAAGTGGTCAATTCATGAAACTCATCCTAGAGCTCCACGGTTTTTTCGTTACCACTCATGGACGTCTTATCAATATGAATTCAGAGTTTTGAATTGAATATGGGCTCTGGGGACTATGCGATGGTCCTCCGGAAGATCCGGAACATCCGTAAAAGTGGTCAATTCACGAAACAGATTCTAGAGCTCGGCGGTTTTTTCGAAACCACTCATAGACGTCTTATCACAATGAATTATGATTTGCAACCAGAAAATGGACGCTAGATACTACGGGATGGTCCACTAAAAGATCCGGAACATCCGTAAAACTGGTCAATAATTGAAATCGATCCTAGAGCTCTGCGGTTTTTTCGAAACCACTCATAGACGTCTTATCAGAATGAATTCAGAGTTTTGACCGGAATATGGACTCTGGGGACTATGCGATGGTCCTCCGGAAGATCCGGAAAATCCGTAAAACTGGTCAATAATTGAAACCGATCCTAGAGCTCTGCGGTTTTTTCGAAACCACTCATAGACGTCTTATCAGAATGAATTCAGAGTTTTGACCGGAATATGGACTCTGGGGACTATGCGATGGTCCTCCGGACGATCCGGAACATCCTTAAAACTGGTCAATAATTGAAATCGATCCTAGAGCTCTGCGGTTTTTTCGAAACCACTCATAGGCGTCTTATCACAATGAATTAAGATTTGTGACCAGAAAATGGACCCTGAGGGCTATCCGACGGACCTCCGGAAGATCTGGAACATCCGTAAATCTGCTCAATTCACGAAACAGATTCTAGAGCTCGGCGGTTTTTTCGAAACCACTCATAGGCGTCTTATCACATTTAATTCAGAGTTTTGTCCAGAAAATGGACGCTGGGGACTACGGGATGGTTCACTTAAAGATCCGGTACATCCGTAAAAGTGGTCAATTCATGAAACTCATCCTAGAGCTCCACGGTTTTTTCGTTACCACTCATGGACGTCTTATCAATATGAATTCAGAGTTTTGAATTGAATATGGGCTCTGGGGACTATGCGATGGTTCTCCGGAAGATCCGGAACATCCGTAAAAGTGGTCTATTCACGAAACAGATTCTAGAACTCCACGGTTTTTTCGAAACCACTCATAGACGTCTTATCACAATGAATTGAAATTTGTGACCAGAAAATGAACCCTGAGGGCTATGCGATGGTCCTCCGGAAGATCCGGAACATCCGTAAAACTGCTCAATTCACGAAACAGATTCTAGAGCTCGGTGGTTTTTTCAAAACCACTCATAGACGTCTTATCACATTTAATTCAGAGTTGTGACCGAAAAATGGACGCTGAGGACTACGGGATGGTTCACTAAAAGATCCGGAACATCCGTGAAAGTGGTCAATTCATGAAACCGATCCTATAATTTCGCGATTTTGTCGAAACCACTCATAGGCGTCTTATCAGAATTAATTCAGAGTTTTGACCGGAATGTGGACTCTGGGGCCTATGCGATGGTCCTCCGGAAAATCCGGAACATCCGTAAAAGTGGGCAATTCATGAAACAGATTCTAAAGCTCTGCGGTTTTTTCGAAACCACTCATAGATGTCTCATCACAATGAAATCAGAGTTGTGACTAGAAAATGGACCCTGGGGGCTATGCGATGGTCCGAAAGATCCGGAACATCCGTAAAACTGGTCCATTCACGAAACGGATTCTAGAGCTCCGCGGTTTTGTCGAAACCACTCATAGACGTCTTATCACAATGAATTAAGATTTTGGACCAGAAAATGGACGTTGGGGACTACGGGATGGTTCACTAAAAGATCTAAAACTGGTCCATAATTGAAATTGATCCTAGAGCTCTGCGATTTTAAACCACTCATAGACGTCTGATCAATATGAATTAGGAGTTGTGACCAGGAAATGGATGCTGGGGATCAAGGGATGGTTCACAAAAATATCCTGATCATCCGAAAAGTGCTTAATTCACGAAACCAATCCTAGAACTCCGCGGTGCAGGAACTCAAGGATGAATAAATTTGCCTCATGTTTTTCTGTGGAAAACCTAAAAAATCTGCCGGAAAATGAGGAAAATTGACGAAATTTTACTCACTATAGGAGTAGTACCAATAGACTAAGTTAATCCAATTTTTAATTTCCTCATATCAAGAACAACATGTGAAAAGGGCATACAAGCTTTTTGTAAACAAACCTTCTTATGCCCTTTTCTCGCCATCCATATGACACAAACGCAAACCATCATCATCACCGGGTGGAGGAAACTATGCTCTTCCCGATGATGTTGTTGGTTTGCGTGGGTGACCCTCGGTTTGCGAGAAAAGGGCCTACAAAGGTTTGTTTACAAAAAGCTTGTATGCCCTTTTCACATGTGGCTCTTGATATTCGGGATTTTTTCCTGGACAAACCTGGAAAAACATGAGGCCAATTTACTCATCACTGAGTCCCTGCACTTTTTGAATTATAAGTAAACTAAACTCAAATGTGGGTCGATCTTATTCGCCGTGTAGACATCTTTAGGAAACCTTCGAGCAATCTCATCTTCTACAAAGAAGGCATCTGAAATTAATATGGGTTAACTAGAAGGATTCTAAAATGAAATTTCTCCTGTCGCTCGGAATTCATTGTAACTAACGATATCCTTTCCCGTTGTCTCTTTCTATTTCCAGAGCACATCCTCAATGTTCCTTTAACCGTGGTGGACGCGTTCCACTCGCACCTCGAACCAATGGAGTTCATCCGACCGGAGACGTTCCACGATCAGGTAAATTGTCCACTCAGCACCGTTTAGCTCAATTCAAAACACCTTCAATTTCCCAATTCGCAGGTCTCCTTCAGCTACGCCCGCATGAAGAACGAATGGAACGTGGTCAAGGTGGATGGGTTCGATCTGAAAACGGACCCGAAACGAATCTACTCGCTCCACTGCCATCTGTATCCCTTCTTCAGCATATGTCCCAAGACGACGATCAAACGGAGATGATGATGCCACAACGACACAATTATTCTAGCTAGCCAAGATTAGCTAAGGAGCGCCAAACCAAAATCGACGACGTGAGGAAAATCCTTTCAAACTGGAAAACAACAAGAACCGACACCAACGTTGAGTTCTAAACAAGAAAAAAAAACGGAATCAAACTACAACACTGTCTGTGATTGAAAATAATGAATTTTGTTTTGTAATAATTTGTAGTAGTCAAGATAATATGTAATATTGTAGCAAGGCAAAGGTGATGCGAAAAGAACAAAACAAAACAAGCAAAAACAAGAAGCAAGATGCAGGTGAAGCAATGCGGGCCTACCTAGGAGGAGCCCATCTAGTCCCTTATGTGCAGCTGTTTTAGTGTTTTAGCGAAGAAACGGGAAACGTTCTTCCTTCCTAGATAAAATTTGACAAACGAATGTAAATATAGCAAAAATGTGAAACGTACTAAAAATCATAAATACTTCCTCGAAACGATGTGCTCTATTATATGGAAAGGCAATGTTGTAATATGTATCTTTTGTTTTAGACGAATCAAAATAGTGTAAATAAGAAGAAGAAAAAAGACGAACAAGTGTAATTGTATGTAGCATACTTCGAACAGAAAATCATTGTTTTTATCATGTTAGGTGTACGTAAACATTGACTATTGTTTTAAAGAAAAGTAAAGCGAAATTGTGTTAATAAATCAATAATTTAAAAATATCATGCCTCCTGAATTTTCTCTCCCCTTCGAAATGCGGAATTTTGGATTGTCTTAGGCTGTGTTGAAAAATCTCGTCCGAACTGAAGCGAACCGTTTATTCCCAAACAAGTTTCCCCAGCGGGCACTTACCCCAGTCGAGGTCCTCGTTGACCACCTCCGACCACACGCCACAATGCTTCGGCTTCTTAGCGCTGGGAGCGCCATTTTTACAATTACCGTCCCCTCCCTTGGAAGTCCTATCGAGTACATCATCCATGGTGTAGATTTTCCCGGCCTCTTGCCTTCTGGCAACGTTGGGACGCTTCGGTGTGGAAGTTTTCCCAGTGCTGGCTGCGTCTGCCGTCAATTCGACCTGGACGTCGCCATCCTCTATGACAGCCAGGTAGTTCATGGTGAACTTTTCCGTTGCGGCTTCGATTGTTTCCCGCTGGGAGGGTTTCAGATGCGGTTCCGATAGGGCGAGCATTCTGAAAGAATCAAATTGCAAATAGAATCATTGACGAATTTACCGATAGAACCCTACTCACATCGGCAGTATCTCCTTAGTGTACGAATTCACTTTCAGAATCCGATCCATCAGATAACTCCTGGACAGCCGCAGATGCCACGGACAGTTCACCGACATCCCCAGGATGATCGTATTGTGCAAATCCACCCTCAGCTTGTTCTGGTAGATCGCTCGTACCGATTTGCTCATCTTTCTCGTCTGTTCCCGCTGGTTGAACTGGAACGACCGTTCCGGCACATCCTTCAGCAACTTCTTGAACTTTTTCAGCAACCGAAACGCCAACGCAACTTCGGTAGCCCAAAACTTGGCCCCTAACCGACGCTCGACCGTCTCCTGATCGTCTTCACAAACCTCCAACAACCTTTCCAAGTACGTCTGAATGTAGCCCTTGGCGACCAACGTCTGGAAGAACTGCTGATGGATACTGGCCAACCCTTGGGTATTGCCGCTGACCGGGGCTTCGAACATATACTGGCAGCACTTCAAAAACACATCGCACACAGTCGGGACCGTTTCCGGGTTCCTAGGCAAGTTCATTTTCTCCGACAGATATCGAAGCACATCGAAAACCACCGAATTCAACTGGTCAACCTTGTTTGCCCGACTATGTTCCTGCAGCAGCTGGAACTGCGCTGGTGTCAATTCCTTCTCAGCTCCACTCATCGACTTTGCCCCCTTATGAATGGCTTTCGTCGCCACGTCATAAACCTTTGCAATGTACTCCAAATCCTCCAGGAACTTTCCTCTCAGCCCTTCGCCCTTGACCTGTTTCCTCTCGCAGCTTTGAATCTGCTCCAGCTCCCGCTTCCAGTAGCTCACCTTCAACCAGTTCAAGCAATAATCAGCCGAACGACGAAACACGTCCACCGCAATCGACAACGAACTGTGGGCACACAGATGTCGCAGCTCCACCAAGAATCCCTCAATTCCAATCTCCTTCACTCGATTGGCCATCGTACCTTTTCGACCGGCACCGCTCTGCTGGTGGCACTCCGTCAAGTGATTGATGAAGCGGGTGAACGCTCCCGAGTACATGCTTTTAACTTCGCTGGCGTTGTCCGTCTTACCGTCCCGCTGGCACTTACCGTCGTACAGCTGCGCCTCCAGTATGGCAATCGTACAGAGGACACTGACGGGAGTTTGCTTGTTTTGGCGGATCTTCCACACCGTGAGCGTTTGGAGGGCGGAGGTTTTCGAATCCAGAGCGGACTTACTCGGTTGGAAGATGAGATTGAAGACATTTCGGAATTCCTCCCTGCAGTAAGTTAATTAAGAATATTATTGAAATTTGAGCGAGAGTTTCGTGGAGTCTCACCTGTCTGCCCAGGCCGAAATATGGGTAGAGTGCTTTCGTTTGGAGTCGATGTTGCTCGGAGGAAATTCCTCTGGCAGTGAATCGATGTTCATGGTAGCAGCTACTGTTGGGGACACTAGTTTAATAATAGAGCACGAATAAACACTGAACAAACTGAACAACTTAACCGATTTGTGTTGAGTTGAGAAGATTTGAGAACGTTTAAATTTCACGTGAATCGTCGAGCAGCATGCTGCACGCGAAAGTCAAATGTAAACAGAGATGATAAAAGAAGAAGGATCCAGACGATGACAGTCAGTGCTGTTGCAACGCTCTCTGGTGGTCGATAGTGGAAGCTGGGCAATATCGGCTAGCATCTCGAACTCCCGGCAAGAAAAGGCACTATGGGACGTCTAGTATCAAATTCAACATCAATTCTAGATATTTATTGTAATGCACAGAAAATGTGGTTAATACAGGGGGTAAGTCACAATGAGTTTAGTTCTTTGTCGTTTGAGATTTCAAAATGAGTTCAATTCGTTTGTCTCGGAATGCTGACAGTTAACCCAACAAACAATTCAAAGTCACAAATAAGCATACACATTGAATAAATGTTGTATAACAGTGTACAATGCTGAATATAACAGGATGTCGAATTATGTGCTGAAAAAAGGTCATTGAGATCGATAGATGCGTCTTTATTCCGCCGTTTGCTCTGATATGATTAATTTCCTTATTAAAAGCTTTATAAACGTTGACTGTCTTCCTTATTCAGAACCAGAAGCTTGATCTAATAACAAACTGAATAAGTGTAATTTGCACATACATAGAGACTTTAATTCGACTGTTTTCAATTGATTTAATAATATGCTTTATTAGACGTCTAATAAATGTTTTCTAGCTCCATTATTAGATTTCATTGCATTGCTTTACAATATTGCTGTATAAAGGTGAATACACTTAGCAAATAGCTCTTATACCACCCAACAAACAATTCAAAGTCACAAATAAGCAAATATATTGAATAAATGTTGTATAACAGTGTACAATGCTGAATAAAAAGAGTTGTCGATTTATGTGCTGAAAAAGCTCATTGAGATCGATAGATGCACATTTATTCCACTGTTTGCTCTGATCTGATTAATTTACTTATTAAAAGCTGTAAAAGTGTTAAATGTCTTCCCAATTCAACACCAGAAGTTCGATCTAATAACAAACTGAATAAGTGTACATTACATACATACATTGACACTTTAATTCGACTGTTTTCAAATGATTTAATAACATGCTTTATTAGACGTCTAATAAATGTTCTCCAGCTCCTTTATAAGATTGCATTGCATTACTTTACAATATTGTTGAATAAAGGTGAATACAGGCAGCATAATAGCTCTTATACCACTATGCGTCCATGTTGTAATCACATGATTTGTAAATGCTTTATAAACGACGTATTAGATTCATTATTCGACAACACTGATTCAGTCTTACAACAAGGCGAAATCAGTAGAGTATTGGTTAACGTTTCCGCTTTCCAATTAGAAGGTCATGAGTTCAATCCCAAGCTCAAACCTTTTTTTTTACAATAATTAATTTAAATAGTAATCATCGATCACATGACTCACGATAATGAATGCATTGATCTAGTTTAAAATATAACCGAGCATCCTTTCTTTCGACTTGGAGATGTGAAGAGGCAACATTGTTCTCATACAAAACAACGATGAATGAATTAATCATTCCCACAGGGCCTTCAAGGAGCTAGCGTTGCGATCGGGACTGCTGATAGGTATTTACTTTCATGCAAGCTTTTATAGATTATTGAGTTGCCCATATAATGAATTCTAGGATAGCTCAGATGACAAGGCAAGCGGCTGGTTATCGGAAGGTACATGGTTCGAATCCCATACCATACAACGACATGTATAAGTATTTAATAAATTTTCTAATATCTGTGTGGTGCGAGCCACGTCAGAAATAATGAAATACAATACACTTAAGAAAAACAAACCACACCCCCTTCCCTGTCCCCCCGTTGATCTTATTTTCGGGTTAATTTTCCCACAGTTGAATAATCGTTTAATAAATGTATAATAATGTCTAATTAAAAGTTACTTCACATGAGAATCAAGCGTATACAGAGCATCACTGTTTTAAGGAGAAGCAGTGATGTCTAAAAACGCTGAATAATCATTAATTTTATCGTATAAACTCTGTTACAACTCAATATAAGTCGAATAAAAGCTTCTCGACATACCTTATTCAACACCAAATATTTCGATGTTGTGGTTGAATAAATTCTCAGATTTGTGTGAACAAAGCCTGAACAGAAGTTATTATTCAAAATAGTACAAGTACTATTAAGCATGCAGTTGAATAGCCAAGAAGTCGTTTCTTCAATAGACGATTTTTTGTTGGGAAGCACCAAATGTAAAGGATAGGTGCAGGAGTGGACCCGTATAAGCTCAAATTCAACAGGAGCAAAATACCTAATACCTAAAGAAATGTCACTACAAGTTGATCACTGCAATTATGTCCTTGTGAACGCTCACTATCGAAATATGTATTCACAGTATTTGCCATTTTTTCTCTCTTCGAAGCTGTAGCATTTGAACAAAGTCTGCTTTGATTAAGCGGGCAATGAAAAAATATGCCCGCCACCTAATGATCACAAACGAAGTGACAGACGGAGCGGCTCGAAATTTGATTTGACGCACTTACATTTGAAATTTTCGAGTGTACCTCACGGCAACACTATCTACTCATACGTACTAGCTTAAAGTATAGTTGATGCTATTGAGATACCGCCTGGTATCTCTTTTTCTCTAACGAAAATTGAAAGGGAGAGCCTCCCGCATAAACGCGAACTATAAATTGACCTTAACTAAAATGGTTAAAAATTGTTTATAATCCCTGCTAAACTTTAACTGAAATGGTTATGGAACTTTATATGAACGTTTAATGATTAAGTTTCAACCTTATGTATTATGGTTTTTTGGAACTGGACCTTACAAATAATGGGTTGTTAAGAACCATTACCATTCCAAATTCTTGTTTTCTCCATACATTTTCAGAAAGAGAACTATATAAGAACGTTTTTACTTATGATTTGAGAACATTAATGGTAATGGTTATGGTAGTCAGTAAGGTCCATTAATGGTTTTGTATTATCGCTCAACTTTACGTGGAATATATCGTGAATTGGTAATCAGTAAATTACAGGCAACCAATTCGCGATATATTCCACATAAAGTTGATCGATGTTACAAAACCATTCGTGGACCTTACTGACTACCATAACCATTACCATTAAAGTTTTCAAACGATAAGTTTTTTTTTTTCTTTGGTTTGTTTTTTTCGTCGATCTTGTTTTCCGTGCTGAGCACCAATGCTACCGACGTGCCAGGAAGGCAGCTCCCACACCTGGACCCTACCTATCGACCCATCAACTCATGAACCGGGGACCAACGGCTTTACTTCCCATTCGAAGGAAGGCGTGATCAGAGATATTATGCCTCAGAACATCCCGGCGGCGCCGACTGGGCCTGCTGGGGTGAGAGGTAATCACGCTTACCACTACACCACCGGCGCCGTTGAAAACCAAACCATAAGTTAAAAGGTTCTAATATAGTTCTCTTTCCGAAAATGTATGGAGAAAACAAGAATTTGGAACGGTAATGGTTCTTAACAACCCATTATTTGTAAGGTCCAGTTCCAAAAAACCATAATACATAAGGTTGAAACTTTATCATTAAACGTTCATGTAAAGTTCCATAACCATTTCAGTTAAAGTTTAGCAGGGATTATAAACAATTTTTAACCATTTTAGGTAAGGTCAATTTATGGTTCGCGTTTATGCGGGAGGCTCTCCCTTTCAATGGTAAAGCCCCTTGTTGAGGTGTGTCAATTGTTCTTCCGTGAATGCGGTCGTCGATCGGTTTACAACCAACCCATCAATGGAGTGAACCCTCGGCGTCGTGGTGATGGTTGATGGGATCTGCTCACCCGTTCGGTGTGTCGTCCGTCTCCGTTGAGACTCCTGCCGTAGTCTGTTTAGTTTCCTATCTTGCAGCTTCCGCTTCCTATCCGATTCGCACTCCTCTGCTACCTTGGCCCTAGACAGAAACTCCTGGAATTTAATTGGATACTCCTTGGCCAATTTGAGATGTAGATAATAACATTCCAAAACCTTTATGTCCAGTTTGCTATATAGCCGTCTGATGCTATCCTTGATGAACTCTGCTTCCATCCTCTTTACTACGCTGGGTGGGGTGGGTGTCCGTACCTTAATCCTATGGCTTATAGGTATAACCTTATATTTTTGCTTGTAAGCTAATAGTACGTTCAGACTACAGAGTTATAACATGTTATAGCGCTATCTTGATGGTGGTTCCTGTGTTGCAATTATTTGACAACCGTTATAACATGTTATAACTCTCCAGTCTGTACAGCGTTTAAGACCACAGTTAAAACAATTCGGATTAGATTTAGTTTTCACCAGTAGACATAACCAGTTGAAATCATTGTTAGGATCCACTAAAGACCCAGTTAATGTTTTAGGTAAAGCAGGTGTATATAAAATAAGCTGTAATCATTGTAACAAAGTATATGTAGGACAAATCAAGAGAACTTTAGCAACTAGATTTAAAGAACATATAGCGGAGGTTAATAAGGCCAAAAAGTAAAAGGGAAAAGGCCTAAAATATGATTTCAAATCAAAGGTTGCAGAATACATCTTCACAGAGGACCACCAACTATCGACGGAGGACATCACGATTTTACGAACCGTATCTACACCATGGAAATTGGATGTTGCAGAAAGCCTCGAGATCAACAAACAACGTAATTCAACTTTACTCAACAGGGATCAAGAAAACAGACACACACGGCTTTTCAAATTACTACCTAGGACACATCAACGAGTAAGCAGCGGAGTACCTGTTCCTATAGAAAATTAAATTTTAGTTTACCTAGTTTCTAAGTGAAAATGTACCTGTGTTAATATATATTCGGTAAATGCGATGTTTTTCTTCAGTCGAGTATTAGTACAAGACACTGAAGAAGTCTGCACATTGTAGACGAAATACGCGTATCTGTCAAGGATAAGCAAATAAAGTAGTGGAATTAAATGGAAAATACTAATCCTTCTCTCTCTCTCATTAGTGAAAAGAAGTTTAGAAATTTGTGCGTTACGAGTAGAAATAAAATAGTTTAATTTTAAAGCAAATCGGAGGAGTGTACACACAAAGAAAAATCGTTA